GTTGTTACCAAAAAAAACAGATTCTGATAAAATATTTGTGTCACGGGGCCTCGTCCAAGTTTGGCCTCCAATCGTTTTTTGAAGTACAAGAAATTGGCTTTCCTGTTTAAACAAAATCAGATGTTGTTTGTGTCTCTAAACAGAAACCCAGAGGTGGGACAAATGTATGTCTCACCGTCGAAATGTGCACTGATGACATATTGGGGTGCAGAGGCCATTGTGTATGACTGTTTGAAGGTTGGAAGGTTGGAAGGTTTGAAGTTTATGAGTTATTTGCAGGAATTTTTGAATGTTCTAGTGTTTGAGAGATTAAATGAATCAGTGTTTTGATAAATGTAAGACTAAATAGGTCATACTGAATTTGAATTAACCAAGGTTGTAACCTCTAAGGCTCATCCCATCACGTCCAATAGTGTTACATGCATTCAGAGATGCCTTCTCCAAGGTTGTCACCTAGCTTGCGCCTACTCTGCAACCCATGCCACCTCTTATTCGCCAATTGGGATGTCGACACCTTTCAATTTTGTACTCTTTCGCCAAGTCCAATGGCGCCTCCCTTCATGTCCAATCGTGTTACATGCATTCAAAGATTCCTTCTCCAAGGCTTCCACCTAGCCTGCGCCTACTCTGCAAGAGTGATACTTATCATGCATGCATGCACCCACCTACCACCTCACTTACTCTATGAAATTTTTTTGCCTATAAATACAGAGCATTACATACTTCTCTCGCATCCACAATCGTCTCACTCTCTGCTACAAACTCTTTCGTAATCTCTTACAAGTTCAAACTCTTTCATAATCTCAGGCATTTTCAACAATGGCTCTTCTCACAATGGACGATTCTCACAGAGGCACAAGGGAAAACATTGCAGCATTTGTAAATTTCTTTTATAGTTATACATTTTTCATACTTCTAGTAATGCTTTGTTCATCTTACTTACTCTTACACCTTTTACATTATTAACTTAGGATACCAAAAGATTCAGAATCCGATCACACAACTACTTTGCTCCCGACCCACTGATCGTACCATATCTGGAATACGCAGGTTTTGGAAATGTTATAAAGATATCCAATTACACAATTGATTCAAAGTTCATACTTACAATATTGGAAAGGTGGAGACCAGAGACCCATACATTTAACCTACCAATAGGTGAATGTACCGTCACGCTGGAGGACGTGTACATGTTATTGGGTCTCCCTATCGATGGTAAGGTCGTTAACGGGTCGGTTTAACAATCCAATTCTCTGTGTGAAGAATTGGTGGGCAGGGATATGGTTGACGGTGGTGGTGCGAGAGGTCAGGGTATACTACTAACTGAGCTAAAAAATCATTATGCAACTCTGGAATTAAACGAAAATTCCTCCGAGCTAGCCAAGGTAATAAAAGCTAGAACTTATATAATGATACTATTTGAAACCTTTTTATTTCCCGAAAGTACGGGAAATAGTATAAATTTTATGTATTTAAATTTACTTAGAGACTTCGAAAAAACTAGAAAGTATAGTAGGGATTCTGCTGTTTTAGCCCACCTATACAGTTTCTTGTGTAAAAATACAACCAAGGAAAAATGTACATTTTATGGTTGCGCTTTTTTACTTCAAGTCTGGGGTTGGTGGAGGATGGAGTCCCTAAACCCCGTCAACAACAACACATTCGTTTTCCCATACGCAACAAAGTAAGTCATCAAGTTATATCATTTATTACTATTCATCTCTTCACCAAATATATGATAAAAATAAAATATTTTTCATTTCCTTTAGGTATTGCGTGAGGGGTATGGATTACGGAAAGAATCCAAGATTCAATGTCGCACTATACCGTAATCTATTGGATCACCTTGGTCCGGATGATGTACGGCGTACCTTTCAACTTTTCTACTTTTAAATTATTTATATATTATGTTTTCATTAACCTGATTTAATTTTATCTGCAGTTTGTCTGGAGACCATATTTGGGTATGGGCCATGAACCAAACCCCGAGGATGCAGCAATTTGGAGCGCAAAAACTGTAATCATACGATTCAATGTTGTGGAGATGTACCACAGCGATCGTGTGAAGATGCAGTTTGGAATGCATCAAGAGATACCCAGCGATCTGACTTGTTTGTCCCCGTGGCATCTCAAAATGGTCGACGCCTAATGGGGTCTTACCAACTGGAAAGACTTTGCTCCAGAATGGTGTAAGATCTGGCAGAGGCGTCACCGATATGTCTTGCAATTCCCAATTTTCCTAAACCATGGTAATATGCGACACACGGATCAGTATTTATCTTGGTACAGATCGGTTAGTACCCCTGAAATGCACGTGTCTCATCCAAGGTATTTGGTTGACCCACGAACACAATGGGCACAACCCTCATTTCCCCAACAAAAAACCCAACACACATCAACCTCCCACCAACCCCCCAGACGAAACAGAACCACAAACACCCAACCACAGTCACCACCACAATACAATTACACCCACATACCCCACAACCAACCACAATCACCACCTCAGTACCAATACTCCCAAATGCCTCACACTCAACCGCAATTTCAATCACAATACCAACAACACACCCGCATATACCCCCCACACAATTTCAGTCTTCTGCATATCCCAATATGGGCCCCTCAACATCCAACCTTAGCCCTGATCTGGGAATGTCGGAAGATTATGAACCAACCGACTCAACTTACCATCAACCATAATATCACCAAACCACCCAATATTCTCAATACCAAACACCCCAAGATCCATTTCCTTTCTACCCCCCGTACTCAGACGACCAATGCTACAGACCAACCATGGAACCCCACCCACCGACAACACGACCAAACTTTGAGGGTATGGGTAACCGACTGTACCAAAGAGGATCTTCTAGATATGGAGATCTGACTGATTTCATGGATCCGGAACGCATTGACTTTGTTGGGCCATCAACCCTGCCACAGCAGGAAACGTGACGAAACCCAACACGGGGATGCGGAACCGGGGGTCATTACCGGGTTCTGGGGGACCACTGATTAATCTATTTTTTTTACGTAATACTTATGTGTGTAATCATATTTTGTAAATAAAAAGTCAATTTTGTTGATCCTATATCGAATACGTAACGCACCGCATTGGAAAAAAACGCGAAAATTACCCTAAAAAATGCACTAAGACACCATCTCACTTGGCTTAGAGCAAACCCTAAGCACCTAGACGCCAAGTGAGATGGCGTCTCCCCTTAAATAGTAGGTGTAGGCGTCAAGTGAGATGGCTCCTCCTTTAGAGAGTCATCTGAAACATGATTATTTGCGGGGGAAAAATTTAATACATGGTTATTCCAAAAAAAAATTGAGTTTGAAAGAACAGGATGAAGAGAAGAAAAATAAATATGTAAATTTGAATGACTTTTTTCCAAAGATTCATACAATGTAATTTTAGTGGTTTTTAACAAAAGAGAAAGAAAAAGAATTTTATTGAGTTTGTTTTTCTCACAGAGCTTGTTTTGATTTTTTAATATTGATTGACTAGAGAGGAAGAATTTTATATTTTTGAATAAGAAAAATATTTATTATCACATTCTCTTAATCTTAATGGTTGTTATTCATTTTGATATTCTCATAAAATTTATTTATTTTCAATATATATATATATATATATATATATATATATATATATATATATATATATATATATATATATATATATATATATATATATATATATATATATATATATATATATATATATATATATATATATATATATATATATATATATATATATATATATATATATATATATATATATAATCAAATAACATGACACATTTGATAACTCTTTACTGCATATTTTTATAATGAAATTAACTGTCGAGTTGAAAGTTATTATTATATAGATCACGTATATAAAATTTAACATCAATAAAAAATAATTTGATATGATAACAAAATGCATAAAAATTAACGACTTATAAAACTTCAATAAAACCGCTAGTTTTGATCATTCTCTTTAATATATCAAATGATTTTCGATTGATGTTAAATTTTATAGACATGATTTATATTATAATAGCTTTCAATCCAAAGGTAGACTTTGTTATACTGATATACAATAAAGAGTTATCATAGGCGTCATATTACTAAGTTTGACATTTATATAACCAACTAGCACTAGTACAAAAAAGTTAATTTACATCCGTTTTTTATTAAATTTACACCCACTAAATTTAATAAAAATCGAGTGTATATTCATCGGGTGAGAAATGTCTAACGCATTTACAAACTTTCTTATTTACACCCTATTTTAATAAAAATTGAGTGTAAATACGTTCATAATTACACCCTATTTTAATAAAGAATCAGGTGTAAATATATGCTAATTTACATCTTTTTTTAATAAAAATCTAGTGTAAATACATGCTAATTTATACCCTTTTAAATATAATTTACACCCTTTATGAATGAACAAATTATATTATATTATTTACACCTTATTTCATATGTTACATTACACCTTATTTTAGTTATCATATTTCATGTACTAAGAAGTCATAATATTTCAAATACTATAAGTCATGCACAGAAAAATCATATTTCATATACTAAAAGTCATTGTTTTTTTCATATTTACCAAAAAATATACAAAATCATATTTTTGTACTAAGAAATCGTAATATTAACAACAAAATATTCAACCAACTTATAACATTTCATGTCACTTTCTTCATACATAAGTTTTCTTCTTCTTTCGCTTTTATTTTGACAAAATTTCTATACCCTTATCCTCTTCAACCATTTGCATTTGGCCTTGTAGATTTTATACCTCAACCTTTTTTATTTTCAGCCATTTGCAAAAAACTTTGAGCCCAAAGTTGTCAAATATGGTCAATTGTTTGTTTTTTATAGGGTGACATAAATATATACAAGTTCAACATACAATAAATTAAATATCTACATATTAAAACAATAATTTACATGTTTTTCAATAAATACATGCAGTACAAAAATATTTTAAATTATACTACCTCATCAAATATTTCAACAATAGAAATATCATCGATATCAAACATGTTCTTCATTATATAATATCCATACATCCATCCATTATCTTGTTGATGTGCCTACATATAAGGTACAAATCTATTACATAAATGCAAAATATTGTAGGTGCAATTGATGTACTGAATTGAAAACATCATAGAATTTGTTGTATTCTAGATGGACGTGATTATAGAGAAAAAACTTAGATGTATGATTTCTTATGCTAGTTTGGGGAAATCATTTTGGGCTGAAGCAGCCACAAGTTCAACAACTTATTTTCTAAACTTCTCTCAAGTACTATGGTCTAGTTAGGTTCTGCTGGTTATTCTGATTATTCTTTTTTTCATCAGTTCAGTTTTTCATCAGAAAACTAAAAAAATTTATTTTTTGAATTAATAACCAGCAACAAGATGAGACCAGATACTAAGCAAGGATTACAACTCCCATGGACCTACCAAGGAACACGGTAAGATAAAAAAGTAGAACCCACATCTCATGCAAAAAATGTATAATTGCACATAAAAGATATCCAGGCATATCTCTAACTAGGTAAAGTTAATAAATGGAAACCTTCATCGAATATCTTAAAAATGTCCTCATATATAGAGGAAACAAACATAAATCATTATGCAAGAAGTGGTAAATTTGTTTGTTGTAAGATGTACTTAACAATTAAGCCTTCACATTTATCAGCAATGCAAACAGTTTCATGAAGTATCTCTCCAACACCTCTTGCATCGTCATGAAGCATCCTCCTAGAACGATATAAAATAAAATTACAAAATCAAGAAATGTCAATCATTACGCATTCGTTTTTTTCCTATATAATGAAGTGCAAAAGCAGCTAGAGATCAATGTCAAAACAGACAGATGAGAAATATAGCTCATAATTGACCCAACCTGTGAAGCATCAGCTCTACTTGACCATCTACCAAACTAGAACCACCAACTGAACTATCCACCAAAACTGAGAATTACATACCACTGTCTTGTATATATATTCCTAAATTAACTTGAGAGAGTTATAGGAAGCGATTGTTTTATTTAAAATATAATAGTGCAAATGATCAAATCGCAGAAATGGTATATTTATTTGAAACATGTCGAAAGCTTTATTTAGGTGACAAGTTGTTAGGAAGATAAATCTAGAATCCTAACAAGACTAATGAGAGGCTAAGAAATAAGAGACAATAAAAATTATCTAATAAAATAAAGGATTAAATATAAACTGAAAATAGACGTGTGGATTGTGAGGTGTTGTTTAATGAAATATACCGGGTAATAATTTCCAACTACAGGTTGGTTCACTTCTAGATCCCAGTCAGTTCTGAAATCTCGAATCTTCAAAACAAATTTATTTTCAATAAATATATAAAATTCATTAAGAAAAGAAGGAAACAACGCTTGAGGTTATGACATCTTTCATAATAACATAAAATAGAAGGATAGTAATTAAAGTTAACACACCCTTTTGATGAAGTCATGTCCATTAGAATCTGTGTAGAATGTCTTGTTGGTCTTCATTGTAGTTGAAAATTGTGTAATAACTTCTTTCCTGGTGCCATCATCCACAGGTATAGGCCCAATCTACATATGTATACATAGATTTAAGATGCAAATCCTCAACTATTTGAGGCGTATATAATAAGTGACACTATCAGTTGTTTTGACAATCAGAAAACAAGAAAGATAACCTACAGTGAACTCAACTTCAGTAATTTTTTAATTTACTAAAATTTGTGGAGCCAGGAGATGCTACCGAGAGGGAGAGAGGTGTTAATATTAGTGGCAAAAACACTATTTTCACAGTTAAGTGAAACATAATTTACTTGAGATACCCATGGATTGAGCTATTGATGTACTTCATCCAATATTGGACTACGCAGGCCAGTAAATGACACCTGAACAAGTCAATGTATAAAATAAACATATAATTAATCATAAACTAAAATTATCATTAGCCTTTGAATTTTTTAAAAGAAAAGTGTGTAACTTGCTGATCAGATTTAATGGGAAATAAGCCATTTGGACGGAAGACGTATGCCCCCAGAAGCCTTAATAAAAAAACACAATTTGCAATAAAAAATAACATAATTGGATTATGGCAAGATGCATTTCACTACTAACTCTTTTATGTGCATATGACTACCTGAGAATCTTTCTCATCCCCCACATTTCCAGAATAAAAACTGTATGATTGTTCAAATGATGTTGTAACCTTCAGCCATAACCAAAACTAATTAATAAACTTCAGCATTACTAACTTTATGCTTCAATGCAAATTGAAATTCAAAGATGTTAGCATCACATATTCCGATAAAATTTGATAATGGAACGTATGTTTAGAAAAACTAATACATTGATAATGAAAACTTACTAGATTTCTAATGTTAACATATTGAGACAATTTTCCTTCATTTGCAGAATAAAGAAGTGTTAGATTCCCTTGTCCAACTTCTATGTTATTATTAGTACTTCCTTCTGATCTGAACTCATTTGAGATAGTTGAAGCATGACCTTCATCATTTTAACAGTCATAAAAGTTTGAGTTAATAAGTGTAATCTTTCAGAGAAGAAGAGATAATGTGTCCAGTTATTGTTGATTATTCTACCCTTGTTCACATCTTGTACATATTCCTAACTTTATTTCCATTCAATACAAATTTATTGGTTTATTCAGCTCTAATCTAGGAACTAACAAAGCGCATTAGTTTTTATTAGTCTATTTATTTTTGCAGTGAATTAATCAGAAATAATATAAATTCACTCAAAATTTACTATCAGCTGAAAGTTAAAAGAGAAAGCAATATCACTAACCTGCCTGTTTAGGCCTTGATACTATATAGGTGCTGAAACCAATGGGGGGTACATATACCAGAAATGCAAGCCAGTACTTGAGTTCCCCTGTAGGAGTTGTTCCTATATATGCTTTGACATGTTTTTTCCTTATACTAGAAGTAATATTAGATAGAGGCAAGAGCTGAGACTCAATTTCCTTCCCAGCTGAGTCCTGGACAAAAACTTCTGTAGCGGAAACTTGTGGTAAGTATGTTCTGAAGTCAGTCTCCTACAAGCATAAATCAATGTCTAAAGACTTCAAAACATGATCAACTTAATTTGTTGGAATATCATATCTAATATGTGTTCTATTTTCATTAACATGCTCATTGGACTATGGATGCATTAGTGCATAGATTTATGAGATAAGAGGGAAGAACAAGTCATATAAACTACTACCAGTATTGCAAAGGTCATGGAAGCATGATGTGTGATTTGGTTTGTGATTGTTTAGCCTATTTGGATGGGGATATTTTTCTTTTGAATTGTTAACTTTTTCAACTTGGTTCGGCCTCTGCTTGTAAATTTGCATAATTACTTGACACTTCTTGAGCTAAATTTTGATGCTCTGATAAAATTGTTTGGTGTATCAAAAACAAAATTAACATATATCCTCTTAAGAATATATGAGATATCTAAAAACATCTTTGATATTATGTTAAAATATCTTATTGTATTTCCTAGGATTAGTTTCTAATTTTAGAGTATCTTATACTATCTCCTAGGACTAATTTCTATATTATTTAGTAACTATCATAATTTGTTTCCATTTCCTTATTTATTAAGGATTAGGAGTATTGTATTGCTTTAAATAAGGGTTAGTATTTAGACTTTTGTATCAATATCAAGTTAGTATCCCATCATCTTTAAGTCTTCAACATTTCATTGCAAAGCTATTTATTACACACAATAAATCTTGGGTTCCGCCGAGGCAAACAAAAAGTCGGAAAAGAACACATCTTGCAACTATCAATGAATAGTTATATGCTTCAAGATTTAAAGATTCCAATCAATAAGAAAATAATGATTTCAAACAATAAGAAAATGAACAATGATAACCAAGTGGCTAGCAATGCATTCACTATTAATTTTGAAATGATGAGGGAATGTATATCATTTAGTATATACCCAATTCAAAATCAAGTAAAATACCATTAAAAATACCTACAGGAATTCGAATTACTTCCTCTCTCTTCCAAGCAAGAGGGTTATAGACAACAATTTCCTACAAAAAGCACCAAAATAGAGAGAAATATGTTAATAAGATACATATTTAATCATACTTTAGAGTCATTTACTTTTGAAGGGTTAAATGATGCATTGGTACCTACTTTCAACATAACACCCCTTACATTGTCAAAAAAGGTGATACCTACTTTCAATTGGTAAATGAAACTTACCAAAGTCTCACAACATGTCAGGCTTTAAAGGGTCAGAATTACTATGCTTTTGTAAATATTACAATTGGTGTAGAGCTCACAGTTCCATTGCTTTGTGCTTGTCCTACAACAAAACAAATGGCAAAAGGGATCACCTCCTAGATGGTTTACACAGTGAACTATGGAGAAACTGTTGAATCTATAGCAAAGGCTTATAGTGTTGATGAACAAAGTATACTAGAAGAAAATGACTTGCAAGTGGAACCAAGTGAAAACAGAAGGGCAATCCTCTTTGCCTTGTCACCTATATTGGTTCCTCTTAGTGGCAAGAGTTGCAAAGAGGATTCTGATAGTTTCTATTGTACTTGCTCTCAATGAAGGCTTGCGGAAGGAACCTGTAATGATTCTCATGGGAAAAAGTTCTTGCCAAACTAGTTGCTGCATTAGGTACTTTCATATAAACCATTTGCAAATCAAAAATAAATTTGTTAATATTTTGGTTTTTAGCAATGTTTTTGTTTGTGTTTTTTCAGAGGTTGGAATTGGTGCAGCCTTTCTGGTTTTGTTTCTTTTGGGTTACAAGTTATATCAATATATACAGAAAAGAAGAGCGAGTATTCACAAGGAAAATCTATTCAGGAAAAATGGTGGTTACCTGTTACAAGAGATGTTATCATCTTATGGAAATGGAGAAATGGAAAAGATTTTCACAGGAGAGGAGCTTCAAAGAGGGAACTGCCAACATATTCACATAACATTTAGGATAATTTATCACATTTTTCTCAAACTATATAAGATCTAAGGACTCTGATATCTTGTAGCTAAGCAAGTCTTAGTTTGTGAAGAAAAATGAAGTAAAAAGACTAATAATAGATCTCAATGATTTTATATTTCTAATACAAATATGTAATGAGTCCTAAAATTAAATCTTTTATTGGATTCATAATTGATTGTCAAGTCAAAATGTAACAACTTGCAACTATATTATGATGATTTCTTGCATTAAGAAAAGGTGAAAAACATATTTTATGATGAGAGTACACTTGCTGGAAGCTTGTTACCGGGTTAATCTTATGTGAACTTAACCTTTGGTTTACCAATAAAGCAAGAGCAGATGTAACCAAGCCTTCTGCCTGTAAATTAAGAAATTGTAGAGCACTTCAGTTTACATTTATGAAATCATAAGTTAAACAGAAAGTGATTAATATACACCTTGGCATAGCCTATTGAGACTTACTTTGCATAATCAGCAGCAACATGTTGTCTTTCCGTGCCACTAACAACATCATGGTGCTGAGTAAGTGCTAAAGCATCAGCTAATGCATCAGTATTTGGTCCTGATTCATTTCTCCCTTTAAAAAATTCCAACTGCTTTGCTGCCTCAACATCAAGAAGAAAAGAATAAATGTAGCCCAAAAAGGAAGAATGAGCTATGAGATCTCATAAGCATATAAGAAGTTACCTCGTAAAGTAAAAGAGCTGAACATTATACCTGATAGTAACCACTCATTGCTCTCACGTAACCCTTTAAAGTTGGCCTACTTGTAACATAACCAGTCCAATATGCATTAGGATGATTAGCATACCTGAAAAGTTGTGTCTTCAAATCAGATTTGAGATCTCTAAATCATGTATTCCAGCTTCGAAGTGAAGGGGAAGGAAAAAGAGAAGTGTGAAATGTTGTGAAATGCAAGGATTCACTTCCTCTTTGTCAAAAAATAAATCCCCTGAAAGATTAAGCATTCATGCATAATCCAATCCCAGACAAACACTCATGCAATGGGGAAAATGTATTCCTGCATAATCCAATCCCACACAAACACTCATGCAAATTAATTTATCTGCTAACATAATCAGTTATAAGAATATCATCTCGTGCAAATTAATTTATCTGCTAACATATTCATTTAAAAGAATATCAGAGAGAGAGCTTATGAAAACAACTTTGGCATGTTCATATGCTCATTTCCACATGCTCTATACAGTATAGCTTATTGAAACAACTTTACTTTATCTGAAATAACTAATACTTTACATGAGAACAGTTTAAACTAAGCACATACAAAAACAGTTTAAACTTATAGCTTATATGAAAACAGATTAAAACACATAAATCTCTCAAACAAATGAAGTTTAGAATGGAGTTACCTGACGCCTAGCTCTTCTCCTTGTTCTAGACCTTCTAAACGCCTGCAAATCTTTCTCATTCTCCACACCAAGAACCTCCAATTCATACGTAGCAAAGTTACCAACAATCCTCTTCCCAGACTCCAAGCTAACATACACCGTAACCCGGTTCGGCACAGCGGGACATACCCACTACAACGAATTAAACAACAACCCAAGCTCCATCAGAACCGAATCAAAACCACAACCGAAAACCACCAAGGAATCAGTTTCATATGCTCGATTATGATAATCACTCTCCATTCTCTCCATAAACTCCTCACAGCAAATATCAAGATAATCGCAACCGGAATTGACACATGCGGAACCAACGGGATCCCCGTGGAGGCGAAAATGGCCGATGCAGTTGAGGATGAGGCAGGTTTGGGAGGAGGGGTCGGAGGTTTCAGCAGGAAGAATTGGGATGGGCGGCAGTAGGTTGTTGTGGAAGGACCATTTTAGGGTTTGGGAGAGATTTGTAGAGTTTCGAACAGCGATGGCGATGGAATTGAGAGGAGATTGTGATGAAGATGACGATGATTGGTTGTTGAGGAATTTGAGGGCTTCTTTGAGAACCTATTTTCCTGTGAAACTTGAAGCTCCTAAGATTATGAGTTCGAATTTTGCAGCATTTTGTTCCATTTTTTGAATTTGTTGGAGAAGAAGAGTGTGATTTTCAGTATCACAAACCTTTCTTATAAAATTTTAGGTGTGATTCTAGTGAAATGAAATTGATGTTTCAGAGAAGTTGCACTGCGATGATAAAGTTGAGAAGTCGAGGAGTTTAGATTATTTCATCTAATAAATTTAAACCCATTAATATTCATCTAATAATTTATTAATTTGTTAAAAATATTTAAATTATTTGTTAATATGCTATTAAGATTAAATATTTTGAGTTATATAATTAAATAATTTTTTTAATTTATATATATATATATATATATATATATATATATATATATATATATATATATATATATATATATATATATATATATATATATATATATATATATTTACACCCATTTATTTAGTTTAAAAGAAGTAATTAAGATTTTATTATAATAATATTTTTAATGTAACCCCGTTTTTAAAAAATAAGGTGTATATTGTCACCTAATAATACTTAAAATAATATTTTATTTATAAAATTGTCACCGCGTTTCTTATTTACACTTGTTTTTTAGTTTAAAGGGAGTAATTGATATTTTGTTATAATAATATTTTTAATTTACACCCGCTTTTAGAAAATAAGGTGTATATTGTCACCTAATAATACTTAAAGTGTCACTTTATTTACAAAATTATCACCGCATTTCTCATTTACATCCGTTTTTAATATATCGGGTGTAAAATTTAAAATTATATTGTTCTTTTTGCACTAGTGTAGAGTTCACATAAGATTGTGACTAATTTACATCTAACTCCGATAAAAAGAAAATTATCTATATATAGACATGGCAACCTTACAATACATGAAGAAAGAGAAGAGATTTAATGTTGAAGATGATTCCTCAATCTTTTCCACTCTTGTTCACCCTCAACTGGTTGTTCTTCATATTCTTTCTTCCTTTATGAATTGTAAAATAGTATATGATATTTTTCAAATGGAAGATGTCGTCGTTATTTATAAAGTTTGGGTAAGCATGAATCTGCTAGGCGATCAAGAAATTTTCTTAGCGGATAAAGTTTCTTCACCTTGAAGCAATTACCAACTTTGGATATTGTTGATATTGAAATAAGAAGAAACTTAGGGGGAAATATTTCTCATTATTATTGAATAATGGTTACTTACAGGAAGCTCTTTATATACAATAATAATGTGATGTCTATATTAACTGTTACATAACTAACTCAACTATCATATAATAATTATATTGATACCTCTCCACAAGTTGGAATATGTATATTTATAATCCTAACTTGGACAAAAGAGAGTTAAGTAAAGGAAAAATGTAAAGGTTTAGTTAATACATCAGTTAACTGCGAGCTAGAAGGCACAAGAAGTAAATAAACCAGTTTTAAAGTTAGCTTTTCGCGGATCACATGACAATCTAATTCAATGTGTTTGTTGCGTTCGTGGAAAGTAGGATTGTATACAAGGTAGATGGTTGATTTTCTATCATAGTATATGGATGCAAGATCACAAAATGGGATATGAAGTTCTGCAAAAAGGTAGCATAACCATTGTATTTCACAAGTAATAGATGTTAGAGCCCGATACTTTGCTTCAGTAAAGGAACGAGAGAAAATGTTATGCTTCTTTGAACGCCATGAAAGAAAATAATTGCCAAGAATCACACAAAATCCAATAATGGATTTCCTGGAATCAGGACAACAGGTCCAGTCTGAATCAACAAAGCCATTAAGTTTAAGTGGACTAGAGCTAGAGAAAAAAATGCCTAATGCAGGGAACGCTTTTAGGTATCATAGGACACGGGTAGCAGCTTGATAGTGAGAGTCGAAAGGATTGGCTATAAACTGACTAAGATGTTGTATAGAAAAGGATATATCAAGTCGTGTATTTGTGAGGTATAAGAGTCTCCCATTCAACTTTCTACAGGAAGAAGGATCAACTAGGGGAGTCCCATCAATGGAAGAGAGTTTGGTGTTAGGATCAATGGGAGTAGAGACAGGTTTGGACCCAAGAAAACCTATGTCTTCAAGTAACTCCAAGACATATTTCCTCTGATTGAGAAAAATTCTAGAAATGGACCTAGCAATTTCCAAACCCAAAAAATATCTAAGTAACTAAGGTCTTTTATGCGAAACTTATGATCCAAGAAAGCTTTGACATTGCTGATTTTTATGATAGAGTCTCATGTCAGAACAATATCATCAACGTACACAAGAGGAGTAATGAAGCCATGTGGAGTGCTTTTGGTGTAAAAGGAATGGTTAGTTACAAATTGTTTATAGTCCAAAGAGAGTAAATAAGATGAAAGCTTAACATGTCATTATCTACTAGCTTGTTTCAAGCCATACAAGGATTTAACGAGCTTGCATACCTTTTTAGATTCTGAAACACCATAGCCAAGAGGAAGAGACATAAACACTTCCTCATTGAGATCCCCATGTAGAAAATCATTATTGACATCAAGGTGCTCAAGATGCCAATGCTTGATGGCTGCAATGGATAGAAGGACCCTGATAGTTATAATTTTTGCAACAAGGGAGAAAGTATCAAAGTAATCCACACCTTCAAGCTGAGTATAACCATTTTCTACCAACCTGGCTTTGTACCTCTCTATGGCTCCATTGGCATGGTACTTGATCTTATAGACCCATTTACAACCAACTGGGACTTTACCTGCAGGAAGATCTACAAGGATCCAGTTTGGTTATCCTTAAGAGTAGTCATCTCTGCATTCATAGCATTTCTCCAACAATCATGTTTAGAGGTGTCATACCCTAATTTTTACTCCTAAAATTCCACCTCATTCATATCTTTGCAACACAACAAGATTACAAACTATGGTTGTTGTACCCCAACTTTGCCCACCCTTCATGTATTTTTTAGCGTCATTTTTTATCTCGAATGAGTACAATGGCCTAGTGGGTATATAGTGAGTAAGGAGTGAAAGAGTGAGAGGTCCTGAGTTTGAACCTCACTGTTAGCATTATTTTTATCTGTTGCTTTTTTACTTTTGCCTTATTTTCAATATTACAAAAATCACTAAAAAATTATTATTTATTTTTTTAATGTTCTATTATCAACTTTTGTTTTTATTTTTATAGTATTAATTCTCTGTTTTTGTGATTGCCATTATTTTTGGTAAAACTAACTTGACAGTAACATGTTGAACAAGATGTTTCAACTTGCAGTTTCAATATGTAGAATGTGGTGTCCTAACCAGAAGAGTAGGACATCTGGTGTGTTACAGTTTTTACAGTTTGGATATAGTTGATTTAAATTACTGAATATCATGTGAATATTAAGTAATCCTATGTGGCGTCTAAGATGGAGGAATCATAGATTTTGTTTGAGTACAACATGTTGATCAAGATGTTCTATCATGCAGAAAAACAGTTGAATAAGATGTCCTATCCAGAATCATTCGACATCTTATTTGTTACAGCTGTGCACTTGGATAGATTGAGTTTTAACAGATCCTTAATATTATGGGAATATTAGGATATTACATTTGGCATCCAAGACTGAGGAATCAAAGATTCTTGTGGATTTAGAATATTAATTTATTTCTCTAAATGTTGAGACATTTTAGGAAACTAAGTCCTATTTTTATTCAAAAGTTTCTGCAGATTTTCAGCAGCTGACTTGCTGCATTTTTGAAGCTCAAATCCAGTCCAGAAAAGGGTTATAAATAGAATGCTACTGTTGTATCCCAAAATTTTCTCTCTCATTTCTCAAGTATTCTCTCACAAGATCGTCTATGACGTCAAGTTTGCAGCACTGATACATCAATTTAGGCTTGGAATTTGCACAAGGGCAAAATGGTCAATTGCATACTAGAAAGTCAAACTTTGACTTTTTGGTCAACATTACATTCCAAATATCAAATTTCGTCAAGACATTCAAGAATATCAAGTTTGATCATCAAGAAGTCAAGAAAGTCAAAAGTCAACTTGAAAAGTCAAGATTTCCAAGACTTAGAAATTTTCGAAGTATTTTTTATACATAATAATTTCATCACTTCATGTCATTCTTTCACTAAGATGCAAGAGGGTTCAAGGAAAACTTTCAACATGAAAGTTGTAGATCCCGATGAGATCTACAACTTTGCTTTGCTGATCAAATCCTATAAGTGCTTGGATTATGAGTTATAAATTCATGAAGTCATGACATTTTCATTTAACACTTAGAGAAATTTTCAACAGATTTTGTTCAGGATTTTATCCCAACTTCTTGGCATTTTTTCACATAGTTACAAGATGATTTTGTCACAATGGCCAACATGAAAGTTATAGAGGATGTTTCAAGCTTTCCAAAACATCCAAGAGTATGAATTTATCATACTTGAGCTAGGAGATTCAAGGGCTTGAAGTTGGGCATCCATCCTTGAATTACAAGTCATTCTATTGAAGAACACATAACAAAACCCTTATGCTATCCTGCATAATCTTATGTTGCAGACCTTCTTGCTTTCAAATCTCTACATAATTTAATGTTTACACAAGAGCTTGGGCTAGTACCCAAGTGTTTGAGCCATTATCCAAAAGATCTTTCCATTTATGGCATAAAGGGACCATTGCTACTCTTGAAAAGCAAGCCTTTTGGTACAAAGTTTGTCTTAAGCCCATACCTTGCTTGTTGTTGATTATACTCCACCATAAATCATGGGAAGTAGCTCCTTTATACCAACAACTTTGGTATTTCATCTTGGGACTATGGAGTACTTGACATAGTTTGATCTTTGTAATCCAACCAAACCATAGCATGTTGTCTTGCAAACCTAATCAACTCATATGCACAAACCTCTTGCCTATAAATAGAAGAAGCATTTGCAAGAGAAAGGGGTCATAAAAATAGAGAGAAAATCCAGAAGTTTTGTTGATAAACCCTCAAAATCTCATATTCACAAAAGCCATAAAAATCCATAAAGCTTCCATTTCTTGAGCTTTGAAATCCAAATCCTAGAACTCTACATATCTTGCAAGTTCTGCCCAAACATCTAAGCACCTCAC